CTTCTTCCACGATGGGGCCTTCGTCTGTATCTTCAGAACCTGAAGTCGTCGTCTCTTCGGTTTGGTCTTCGTCTATCGCATCCGGAATCTCTATATCTACCGCTTCCACTTCGTCATCCCCGCGCAGGATATTGCGTATTCGCTCAAAGGTAGATTCATTCGCCGTATTGTTCCCAATATCACTGATGATCAAAGTAAGCTCTTGGGCGAGTGTGTTCGCGCGGTCTCTTTCCTGTTCGAGAATTGTTAATTCTTCAAAGAGTGCTTCTTGCTTCTTTTGTGAACGCTGATATTTCTTCGCTAGGATATCGCTCTTCGCTGCCTTCTTGCGAATCTCATCCCCAGTCAAAAGGTTCTGTGCCTCCAGGATTAAGACTTGGGATTTGTACTGCTCCACCTCTGCTTGTGCAGCGGCAAGTGCGGACGAAAACATCTCCTCCGCAATCTTAGGAGCGTTTTGAGCCACCTCCTTGAATATTCTCAACTGACGTGACATATCAGTCCTCGCTGCTTCAGCTCGGAGTGCGACTTCCCGAACTTGCTCCACCATCGCATCAGAACTCGCCTTCTCCGCTTTGATTCGAACGACCATATCTTGTAGCTCTGCATTTTCGGCACGCAATCGCGTAATGAGAGCTTCGTCCTCTTCTGAGCGCACGTATGGTGGGGGAGCCATGGTTATATCAGTGCCTGCATCCGTCTGTAGTGTATCCAGAACACTAGAAACCTTGTCCCGAGAGAGTATAGCTTCAACTCTAGCGGGTTCAAGCGAACCGAATTGCTTCAAGGCCGTAGTTAAGCCAAAGATTTCCTCCTCAAAAGCGTGCTTGGCCAGTGCATGCTCGCTGACATCGTCTTGCAAGCGCTTTTCCAATCTCTCTCTTTCTTCCTGCAGCAAGGAGATCCGGGCTTCAAGTGCGGCTATGGTTGCATCTTTTGCAGCGATTTTCATTGTGTGCTCTTGCCGCGATACTTCGATAGCAGGTGATGGTTCCGAATTGAGGCGAACAGAAGCTGTAGGCGACAACACGTCGTTTGTGGACCTACTCTAGAAGAAAAGGTTGAGACAAGGAGACCATTAAAGGGATAGGCGTTGAGATAGCTACTCACTTCGTAGTTAACGGTGGGTCTCTGTTGTACACCCCTACTTGCAGAAGTAGTGAGTGGTTTGATGCGATTGGATGCGGCCTCAAGTTGTTTCTTGAATGGCTGGGGTGAGGGAGAGGGACTGGTGAACTCTTCAATTTGGGAGAGAGGACCTTCTAGTCTGGCTTTAAACGCTGTAGGCGTCATATGAGGTATCGGTCGAAGCACCGGTGGATTCTTGCGTGGATGTGATATTGGCTGATCGGGTTCAGTAAATGTTTCGGATTGATCCTCGTATATGTGCTGAGATTCTGGAACAACAGATATGCTGGATAGACTTTGAGATGTATCAACTTCGGCGCTCGCCTTTGCTGGTGGTTGATGTTTGGAATAACCTCCCTTTTCTGAATTAGGTCGTTTTTTTTCAGCGGAGGATTGTATTTCAGATGGCTGTTCATCATCCGAGTTGCTTTCATCCGGGGAGACGGCCAGCTTTTTACGCTTCTTTATAGGTCGGGCTGATTGTGATTCTTCCTCCTCCTCTTCATCCCTTACGTCATGCGAGATTGGTTTGCTGGAAGGCCTTGATTTGGGAGGTGAAGGCGACCTTGGACGCTTTTTAGAAACCTCGACGAATGGCACAAGGCCTCCCGACACCCGTTTCCGTATCGGTGAGGTCAATACAGCGTCACCGGGAGGATGCCGCTCTTCTGAATAATTTCTCGGTCTTGAACTAGTTCGAGAGGGCTCGTTTCCTTTAAGTTTGTGAGACAAGAAAACTTTGTAACCGATGATAACTTACGTTTCTCGCCTCGCGGCTTCTTCATTTCACGCCTACGCTTCTCCTCCTTCCAGTCCTGAATACACGCATCTGAACAGTCTTCTTTGGGTATCCATGAGGGTTTCCAAGGTTTACCGGTCTCAGGATCCAGGCCAGCCCATTCAACCTCATATTTGGATCTTGACTCCCTCAGAATCCGATTTACAGGCCATAACGACTGGGAATCATCAGAAGTATGGGTTTCAAATTGAGTCAACCCCTGTGATTCATCCCCACTGTCACCTCTATTAGACATGTTATCGACGTTGGAATTCGACCAATGTTATAGCGGAGTTCAAGGTTGAGGTCTGTGCCCAACTACGCCAGTGGCAATACCACCATCTCTCATCATGCCTCCCAAGAAATCACCAGCAATGTTGAAAAGGCTGAAACCTCTAACATATCACCGTAAGTGTCTCTAAAATATATGTGTAATTTACTCATAAACCTAGAAACCGTGATCGAGATGTTGAAGTTTTGTCAGCTCCAAATCTTTTCAAAATATTCCAAACTTAATTCTTTCAATAGTAGAGGTTTGCATACACACAATATTATTTGTCCGACGCATCTATCCTACGGAACTATTTACAAAGAGGAAGATATATGATGCACCTGTGTATCAATCAAGGCATCCGGATCTCAACAAGTATATCAGTGGCGCAGTCAAAAGTGTTGGAGATGAGCTAGTACGGGTGAGTGATGGATCTACAGGAATACAGGGATTAAACCTCCTTTCAAGGGCACCGTAGAACGTGTGGTACTTGTGATCAGGGACCGAGAAAATATTGCAATTGAACGCTTCCTTTTTAACTTCTCTGGTTTCATCTCAATTCCTGAGGATGCAGACTGGCAAAAGTGGCAAAAGTAATCTGGCTATCGGTGTTTATTGCAAAGCACTGACTTTCAATAGCATAGAATCTGCAATGACGGCCCCTGTGCTAGCTCAGTATTTTCGGTCATTTTTAATCCGATTAGGAATGCTTGATTCTTATCTGGGAGTGATCCCTGCCCAATGGGATCCTACATTTGCTGTCGTGATGGAAATGAAGGAAGGGAACATTCCATCCGAGCCTTTGACCAAGGTACGACCTTTATATATCTCTACAGGCCGTCATACTGAACATTAGAAGCCCAAAGTCAAGGAAAAGCCTCCACGGGAGTGGGTTCCCGCTATCCTACAGAATACTACTGATGGAACCACCGCCGAAGCAGAGAACCACATTATCAGGGCTGTGGATACTGGTGTTATCAGTGTCAGAGCATTCATTGTTATCTTTCTCTTACTGATATGACTCCTAGCTTTCATTAATTGTTCAAGAATCAGAGGAAAAACTCTTGCGTGTAGCGACACAGGAAGATAGTATGAAAATATAGTAAACTAGGAGTCGATTCCAGCTTGACTAGAG